CCGGGCCCCCCAGGCCCCTCCAGCCCCCTCGGCTCCTGGTAGCTCCCGGGGACCCCCAGGCCCCTCCAGCCCCCTCGGCTCCTGGTAGCTCCCGGGGCCCCTAGGCCCGCCCTGCGTGCGCCCTGGGCTCGCCCCGTTTGGAGCTTCCGCCAACTTTAAATGCCAGAGTTCAGTGGAAATAAAGCTCCCGTCTAAACAGCATGAGGATGTTTTCTAAAGGAGAGGCTGGGGACAGGTGGGGAAGCCACGCTGGTGTCCTCAGAGGGACCGTGTTCGCCTGAGGGGCCATCCGGGTGCCCTCGGGGCCTCGGCGCTGGAGCTGATGCCACCGGAGCCCCAGGCTGTGGCCCCCAGCACTGAGGCTTCCCTGGCAGCTGCAGGGTTTCCAGCCATGCGCCCACGGGCGGGCCGCTTATGTGTCGCCCTGTCGAGAGGCACCGGCCTGGGCGACTTTGGGGACCACTGGGAGGACAGGCACCGTCCCCCTCGGAGTCCAGTCTGTCTGCGGCAGCTCATCGTGGAGCTGAGCCTGAGCTTCCACTTTTTGTGTTTGGGATCTCATGCCGTGGCCCAGCCTGCAGTGCAGTGATCGTGGCTCACTGCAGCCTGGACCTCCGGGGCGCAAGGAGCCTCCGTCGGCCTCCAGAGTAGCTGGGCCCCGGCTGTGTGCCACCACGCCTGCGTGCCACCACGCCTGCCACATTGTGTGTGCGTGTGGAGACGGTTGGGGGGGTCCTCACTATTTTGTCCAGGCTGGTCTCAGACTCCTGGGCTCAAGCAGTCCTCCTGCCTGGCCTCCCAAAGTGCTGGGATTACAGGCGTGAGCCACCATGCCTGGCGTCCACTTCCTCGACTTTCCTGAAGGCCAGCATTCCTTGGCGTTTCCAGGGGCGTTAGGTGTGGGAGCTGCCTGTTCCATGAGTCAAGTCCCCGCCCCTCGGCTTGGCCTGAGGCTGTGTTCTGGGAGACCTGTCCTCATGCCGGAGCTTGGTGTGTGGGCGTCCCCACCCTTGCCCGGTCACGGGGGTCTGCATCTCTCTGCATGTGGGCCCCTGTCGGGGTGAGAGGGCAGAGCCCTGGGGCTGCGGGAAGCCGATCAGCGCATGTGCGTGTGCCGCGGGCTGGGGCTGCAGGGCCCGACCAGCACCCACCTGCTCTGTGGGAGCAGAGCCCTGCCGGCCTGTGCCAACCTGGCACCAGCTGCCTGAGCACCGGACATTCCCTCTTCTGTAAGGTGGGCAGTGGAGTAGCTGGTCCTCCCTCTGGGGGAGGGGGAGGTGGCCACTGGAGACGCCCCTGGGGTATCCTGAGTCGCCCCACAGGCTGTGCATTTGCTGAGAACATGAAAGGGTGGGAGATTCCACTAGGCCGCGTGGGGGAAAAAGGACACCTGTGATATATCTGTAGACTAAGTCAGAAACTACGTTTACCACCGTACAGGCCACACAGGCTGGGTCCCACACTCGGGTTACATGGGGGAGGCAAGCGCCCGCAGATGGCACGAGGGACCCCACCTGTGCCAACTGGGGTGTTGGAGCTTCTGAAAAGGAGCCCTTTCCTCCCTGGAGATTGCAAATCCAGCGTGAGAAGGGTTGGGGAACTCAAAAGTTGCACAGTCATATTTTTTGTGTTGAAATAGAACCTGTTTTATGTTTGCAGTGTGTGGGGATTTTGTGGGGGCGTTTTTTGAGATGAGGACTCTCTCTGTCACCCAGGCAGGAATGCAGTGGTGCTGTCTTAGCTCCCGGGCTCAAGGACCTTCCCGCCTCCCCTCCCACGTCACTGGGACCACGGGCGTGAGCCGCCCTGCCCAGCTCAGCATTGGTAATGGGAGGGGGCTGGCTTTGCCGCAGAATCATCACCGTTCAATGAGGAAAGTATTTATGCTCGGTAGTTACCCTTATGTAGAGTCTTGGAAAACTTCCGAGAGTTTCAGGAATAAACTATAGGTTTAACCGGTTTGGATGGCGTCAGTGACTTAGTGGGGAAGATTCTGTTGATTGAAAGTGTCTGCAAAGGAGTCAGAACACACGCCTTTGTAAATACACTGTCAAATGTTTGCTGGTCGGCCGTGAATTACGAGCACGAGGAGACGCCGCACGCCTGTCTGGAATCTAAACGGCGACGACTGGTCCCTCATGCACGCCGTGTAGGGCAGCAGTGGCGTTCTGGGCCATTCACACCCTCACCAGCAGCTTCATTTGCAGTGGGTCCAAAGTCCACAGGACACAGCCCCCACAGGTGGGTGGGAGCCCACCCCGTACAGACACCCTGCGAGCAGGCACCCTCAAGAAGCCAGCACCCTGCTGGGCGCGGTGGCTCACACCTGGATTCCCAGCACTTTGAGAGGCTGAGGCAGGCGGAAGACTTGAAGTCAGGAGTTTGAGACCAGCCTGGCCAACATGGTGAAGCCATGTCTCCGCTAAAAATAAAATTAGCCAGGCACGGTGACACGCGTCTGTAATCACGGCGACGAGGGAGGCTGGGGCAGGAGAATCACTGGAACCGGGAGGCGGAGGTTGGGGTGAACTGAGATGGTGCCGCCGCCCTCCAGCCTGGGGCTCAGAGCAAGACTCCATCTCCAAGAGCAAATACCCGAAAGGAGACCACGTCCATCTGTGGTGACTGGCACAACTCGAAGGGCCTTGGCTGGTGATAAAATCCCACCTCAAAAGGGCACCTGCTCTGACTCCACGATCTTCTATTCCCTCTTCAAAAAACTGTTTTAAGCAGGGACCGTGTTGGTGTGTGGCCCAGGCTGGTCTGGAACTACCGGGCTCACGCTGCCCTGCTGCCTCCCGACGCGCCGGCTTCTGCAGCTCTTGAAGGACAAGACGGTGGCTGTGGGTCGCAGACCACAGTGGGCAGCGGGACGGGGCAGGTGCTGGGACTGTGGGTGGGGGAGCCACACACATGCGCCCGGATGCCTCCTGGTCTGGTCGCGGCCTTCCTGTTCCGGCTGTGCAGGGTGGGGGGCTGGGGTCCCATGGCTCCTCTGCCCTGACTGGGCTTGACGGTCTCTGGGCCTTTGACTTTGTCCTTTTTTCTAGAACGTGGCTGTTGAGTTCAAAACCCCTAGAAGATGCCAGGCACGGTGGCTCACGCCTGCAATCCCAGCGCGTTGGGAGGCCAAGGCCGGCTGATCCCTTGAGATCAGGAGTGCGAGACCAGCCTGGCCAACTTGGTGAAACCCGTCTCTACTACAAATGCAAAAACCAGCCAGGCGTGGTGGTGGGTGCCTGTCATGCCAGCCACTCGGAGGCTGAGGCATGCGGAGGCTGCAGAGAGCCGAGATCCCACCACTGCACTCCAGCCTGGGCGACACAGCAAGATTCCGTCTCAAAAAAAACACAAGCCCTGGAAGATGACTTTTGAAAGAAGGAAAACCGAGGCCGCGCTCCCAGCTGTGCCAAACAGCAGCCTCTTCCAAGGGCTTCCGGGACCTCGGCGGGCCCCGGCTCTGGGGGCCTCGGCGGGCCATGGTTTCAGGGACCTCGGCGGGCCCCGGCTCTGGGGACGTCAGTGGGCGCGGTTTCTGTTGTGTCCCTGGAGCCAGTGCAGTCCCTGGCGCAGTCCCTGGAGCCGGCGTGCCAAGGCTTGCTGGCTTCCCACTGCACTGGGACCCCAATTATCCACAGGCCGCTCCCAGAAGGGCCGCTCTTCCCAGCAGGCCTGGCCTTGCCTCCCCGATGGGGGGTGCCCTTCAGCTCACGGGGAAGGGGCTCAGCCCCCACACGGCTGCACCGGGACGTGCGTTTTACGAGGCGGGCTCAGAACCACAGCTGGTGCCCCGTGCCCCTGGCAGTGCTGAATCCACCCCCAACCTACAGGGCTCAGAGGCCTCCCGGCCCCAAGGGAGGAGCAGGTGCAGCTATTAGCGCTTCCCAAACAGGCAGGTGCTGGGGGAGGCTCAATTATCAGCACACAGCTAATCCTCTAATTAAAGGGGGAAGTGGCGTTCACAGCCCTCCTCCTCCCCAGCCAGGCCGCCCTGCGCCGAGGCCAAGTCTCCTGGTCTGTGCAGCTGTGGGCCCTGTGTTCTCTGCGTAGGACAGGGCTGTGGCCACCCCCAGCCCCTCCAGGTGCCCATGCTGCGCCCATCCCGTTGCCCCTGGGATTCCCCCCTCTGGTTCACCTGCCCCTGCAGCAGCCACAGCAGCCAAGGGGTGAGGCCAGCCCATGGTGGCGCCTGCTCTGTGGGTGGGGTGGGGCCTTCCTCGCTCTGGGCAGAGGTGCAGGCCGGCCCTGAGGTCCTGGTGCCTCCCAGGCTGAGCCGCCAGCCCCGATGCCTGCTGGGCTCCCG